ATAACCTGATCGCTTCTGTGGGTATTGCTGCGGCGTCGGGGTATTTATTACCTACACCCATTGTTCTATTTGTTCGGCTTGGTGGGTAGAAATATTAATTTCTTCGCTTCGAAGGACTTTGACCCTTGACGTGCTAGATGCAGGGTCAGGGTTAAAGTGCTGTACCTGTGGTGCACGTACAAGAAATATGACCAAAGGAAACATGGTCAGGGAATACTCTAAGCTTTGAATCGGAGCCGTTGGCTTGCTGAGTTAAGTTTTGTACCCATTACCATTCGAATATTTGTTGACGGTTTTTCAGAATGAAGATGTTCTTACAGTGAACATCCATGTACTGGATAGTTCATAATACTTGGCATTGGTCGACGCCACAAGCAAATTTGTCAAGTGAAGAAAGATCAAAGATATAAAGGCGAAATTCCCTTTTGGATGCGCTATGCATTCTCCTTCCGCTTAAAATCGTAAAAGCAATTTGATGCGATGGTCTCCAATAATGGCTCGCGAGAGCCTTTCAATGTAAAAACAGGTTTTTATCTTCACAGGGGAGTCTAGTACCAACTAGCCACCCCCCTAAAGAAAGAACGTTAGCCTGAACGTCGTACGGTCAGAATTGATCACCGTACCACGTGTGCGCTTACTGACACTGATTGCCACCTACATCATTTCCGCAGTTAAAATTTGTCAAACGCAGAGGTTATACAGTGCTGTGATCATGAATAAGGTCGTAGTCTGCAGTAGGTGTTGTCTTCGGGATTAACAACCTTCACTAAGAATTTCTAGCAGGAAACAACTTTTACATTTTCGGAATGGTATCGGTTGACAAGGGCGGCAGTGGTGTAGTGGCAAGTGGCACGCTTACCACGCGAGCGGGGATCAAATCCTGGGTCGTGAGTCGCCCGGGCCAACCAAGCCTTCCATCCCTCCGGGGTCGGTTAATTGGTACCAGACTTGTCTGGGAGGATAAAAACACTGACTTGTACATCGGCTGGCCCCCGCAAGTCATTGCAGGCTTTGATCCCCTTACTGGAATATCTGCCGCCATTACCACTCCTATGGGACCACTTCCTGCTGAGACAGCCAAACCTTCAACCCCTTACATTACAGAAATTCAACCCCTTACACGATAGAGAAATTGGCCAGAATTTTGTTGTTTTTTGAGTT